GCCTCAAGCCCTGCTTGAGAGCATTGCCTTGTGCGGTGGGAGTGTATGTTCAGAACAGGGATGAGGAGGGTATTTGCAATGCTTTCCGCACGCCTGGAGAGAATACCCTAAACTTGGCTGTAAAGTTTGTAAGAGAATGCCATGTCCTCTGAAGTTTACAAAGCCTTCTTGCGAATGTAGCCTTTTCATAGCAGAAGTGGAGGAAATTTGTAATGAAATTGTTTCTTTTAGTAAGTGGGTGTTTTTAGTTACTTTGAGTGAAGGTGTTTGTTTTCGTAAAAGGACTATTTTTCAGCTAACTAGAAAAAATGGGGGGGGGGGGGGCGGGGGGAGAGGTGTTGAACAGCAGTGGTGTTCACATCTCTATCAGTTGGCATTAAGATGTATTTACTTATGTCTAATAAATAATATCGTTTCTTGGTCATATTGTTTTGTTTTCATATTCTAAAACTGCTCCTTTGAAGAGAGGCTTAAAAGCTGCATACAGACTTTTTCTTATGAAATAAAAGAAAATTTAAAAAGCAGGGCTTTATGGAAGAGGGAGAAGGAACAGGAAAGAGTAGGCAACCAAACCCATGCCTCAGGATACCACCCCTAAGGTGTGGTGGTAACATCTGCACTGGCTGCTTATTTACATAGGAGATACTAAGGTCTGAGATCCGTCAGTACTTTCATACAGTGTTGAAATGCAACAAGAGCTGGTACAGTGTTATAAATGCCAGATTCTGCCTTGCGTTATTGCTCAAAATTCTCCTTCAGATGTGCAATGTGTAGTTCTTCCTTCTGTTCAAGAGAAGGGTGGGGAAAGGCAGAGGCAGTAAAGCTGGTAGGATAAGAGATTTCTATTCATCTCATTTTCTGGCAGAGGCAGTTCTCAGACGTGCCTTGGCAGTGTCTGTATTCAGTAGCTGTGTTCCTGGACGCTGGCCCAGTCACATGGTGCTGCTGGAACAAGTGACATGGGAATGATGCATTAGCTGAGACCCAGCACTGCGTGCTGGAGGAGGTGGGGTGGCCCTGCCGGCCAGGCGGCCTGCGCCCAGTGCTCAGCAGAGACGCTGGACTGAGCACTGCTTGCTCCTGTCCAGCTGCTGCCGTTTGGCTCAATCTGTTTGGCTCCAGTGAAAGCTGGAAGTTGGTTACTGGAGGTGCCTTTAAAAAGATAAAGAGGGGGGGAAAAAAAAACCCAAACCCTAAATTAAAAATTAACAAACTTTAAGTTCTCTGAAATGATAAAGATTATTACTATGAAACAACTTCTGCAAAATATTTGACTTAATTTAGATAACTGAGCTCTCCTAGCTGTTAGAAGCTATGGTTAGAGGTTAGGGGGGAAAGTGGGATGGAAGGAGGAAAGTTTATTAAGACTAAATAAGGCTTTCTGTACTGAGGAAAGGGCTAGGTGATGGATCTAGGGTGCTAACCTTATTGCACACTCTACCTTTCTTTGTTTAAAGTCCTAGTTTAACAAAAATACACACTTTTCTTAATGGTAAAACACAATTAAATATATGCACTTTTTCATGCAATTACAAGTCTTGAGCTCTTCTCTTTGCTAATGAGGAATTCCATTTCTGGGGCTAGCAACTGAGAGCACTGTCTGTGCTGTTTGTGGTACTACTTCAAACGCATTGTTCTTACTGGGTTTTTTGTTTGGTTAGGGTTGTTTTGGGTTTTTTTTACATTATCACTGAGATGCTGTATGAAACCTAGCTGCCAAACTTCTGACTTGTAGATAAGCCAATGAACAGTGAATCCAAACGTACGGAAGTTGGCCGAGTTGTGAAACAGTGGTTTAATAGGCTGTTCTTGATGTTTGTGGAAAGCTGATGTGTGCAATTTATGGTGACTTTAACTTGTATAGATCTGTTTGTTAGCTTCTATCAGGTGTGTGTGTGGGTTTTGTGGTCATTTTCTGTGTGTGCATGTGACGGTATTGCTTTCTAGCAACAAAGATGATGAAAAATGCTTCCAATCTTGCAAAAATCGAGTACATTCTCGTCCCCTAAGCATGGAGTCTGTGGAGTTCTAGCTTTTCAGTGAACAAATATGTCCAGTGTTGTTTTGCTTTTCATACAGTAACGTACAGAATTATCTTTAAAAAAAGTAACCTTTCTGTACAGTGATCTGATATAGAGAACTTTACTTTTTTGCTCTGCCAGAACTCTTTCTACAGGAAAACCTGAACAGAGAGAGAGGAGTGCTGCAAATAACACGTTCCTTCACTTGTTGCATGACTAATCTGCAACGTATCCCGCCTAACTTGTGTGAAACTAGTAACTATGTATCATGCTTGAACAAGGTGGTTCATCTGAGGTTACTAGTGCTTTACCATATTAGGACTACTTTAAATCATTGTGGAAAAAGAATGTGGTGTGGCGTCAGTACAACTCTTCCATGTCTAAGGTTTTAAAAAGAGGAGGAGCAATGCAGGGTAAATACGTCAAATTGGGAGGGAGGGAACCCACATCTTCTACATAAGCTATTCAACAGACTGAAAGAGGGAAATTCATAATTAAGCAATCCAAAATAGATTCCACTTCACCTTTAAACATGTGTTTTGGCACTCATCCTGAATGTCTGGGTCGTAGGCATTTTTTGTGTATCAATTTTGCTAAGTGTATGTTTTGCAAAAACAAATGCTTACTGAAACAGTGTGTATGATTCAAACTTTCTGTTTTCCTATACTTCTCTAGCCTGCTTCTAAAAGCTCTTTGGAAAAATAAAACCTTACTAGGGGCTCTGCAAATATTCTGTTAGATTTGAAAACAGTGCTTAAGTTTCAGTGGACAGCTATAACTTCTACAGAAAATTATTCTTAATTAGATAACTCCATCATATATTTGTCCTCTTTCCCCCACCCCAAATTTTAATGCTAAAATATTACCTTGAGTTGAAATCATTTAGACAGTTGTCTTGCAGTGGAGATGAAGGACAGGAAATGACCTACAAACAGAGCAGGTGACATGCTGTCATATAGCCTAGAAAAAGAGTGATTAAACTCTGCTTCCCAGAGGACTATATCTAGAGGGCAGGACACTGTCTTCCATTTTCTGTATTATCTACTCCTTGGACACAGGGTGTTTTCCATGTGTGGGTTTGCATTTCTTTCAGAAACTGTTCTGTGGATTTTTTGGTGGTAATTCCCTAGGTATTTTGGGATTTGTAGTATTCTACAGATGACCTCATCTACAGATGAGGTAGTGTGGTGAAGCACGTCTATTTAGTGAGCTTACAGGAGTTCCTAGTTCTAGTCTCAAATGTGAATCCAATACTGTGGTCATTTAACTGAATGTTTCAGAATTTTGTTTTAGGTTTTACTTGGGGAAAAAGATAGGACAGAAGTGAATGCTATCAGTGGCTGATCTTGGTCTAAGTGTAGGAACCTGACCATCAGTTGCTTGTTTCATTCGCACTTCAAAGGTGAACTAGGAACACAATGTTTAAAGTAGTCCTCCTCAATGAGGTGAGGGCTAGGAGCTGGCCTCTCCTAGATCGTTTGAATAACCTGTGAACAGGCCAAAGCTTTTCACTTGTTTTCTTCACTTTGGAGGAGGAGTAGGTGTGATCTAGTACTTGTCACTACTCTGGGAATTGAAACTGAGCCCTTTTTTTTTTTTTTTATTGCTATAGGCTTCCCTCTGCGACTGAGCAAGTTGTTGAACCTAACCTTGCTCTAGTTTTCCTGCTTGACTTTTGTCCAGTGTTTAGAGGTTGGGGTTTACTGAGATTACAAAATCCTTTTAAGAAAGGTGCTGTGCTATTTAGCATGTAGCACGTAGCACTGGGTTTTGAAATCTTACTGTGTTTTCTAATTCTACTGCTGTATTTCTGGGTGACCATTAGCAAAGTTATTTTCCATTTTTCATCTGGAAGAGAACTAGCACTATGGCTGTTATCTTATGTCTAAAACTTTACTGATGGGGAGAAAGCTATGTAAGACATGAATTATGAGCAGACATGTATGGATAACTTTTTTTAAAGCAGGGATGGGGAAGAGGACTTTGTTTTGCAGTGGAATAACCTGAGCCTGAACAAAATGTCAGGTTCCTTCATTCTGTTTAAAAACTTGAATTTTTTTGGTCAGAAGTATTTTATTAGATATTTTTGTCATCATTACTGCCATTAAATTATTTTAATAGGCACATGACTATAAATTCTCATCAACTTGATGTCTGTGACTAACTTTTTTTGGTTGTTGTTTTCCCTTCTACTCTTTTAAAAAGCTTTTCAAAATAGTAGTTTCAGATTCTTGGCCAAGTGTGAATACTATTTGTCCTTAAAAGTAAAAGCATTGCAGTGCAGAATATCTAGTGTGTTTCTTGGTGTTGGTCTTTTTTTTTTTTTTCTTTTTAAGTGATAACCATATGGCAATGATGACAGATTCTTATTTGCTCCTAAGCTATATGAGGTTGCTAGGGGTTGTCAGATGACAATTGCTCACATGAGAGCCATTAACAGGGTGTTGTAGCCAGTGTTAGAACAACCTTGCAACTAAGGGCGAGTCACTGCAAAAGCAACTATGCTTTTTTTTTTTTAAGAGGCCATATGGTTCAGTCTTGTGACTACATAATTGCCAGCTACCTAATCACATACCAGGAAACAAACATAGTTAAAGTCAATATTAGCTGTTGTATCTGCTACAGCTTTGTGCCAGGCTTGGTAGAAAAAACTCTAACAGCAGCAAGAGCAAGTCTACGATGGCTTCTGAAACTTGAAAGTCATGCCTACTCCTCTGTCTGGAATAATTGCAGCGGTACATTAGCTACAGCTGTCTTTCTGCATTAATGGCTTATAGAATATATGAAGAACTCTTTGCCTTTTTTTCCCCTAACAGGAAATTCAGCAGACTGTGTTCCTGTATAGGGAAGAAAGCTGGTGGTAAACTACCATTGTTAATGGTTGATCTATAGTAAAGAAATCCGCTTGAGGCTGTGTCTCTTCAGTGGGTGTTTAGTTTCTTTGAGGGAGCTTTACAAGAGGATTTGTAGCAAAAGAAAATGTGTGGGGGTACACCAAAAGCTACAAATGGCACAGGGGGACAAATAGAAAGAGCAAGAAACAACAACGATGTACCGCTTGGAAATAATCTCTCTTGTACCAAATTGGATGAAAGGATTAGCAAATCTTTGAGAGACCAAAGTGTCAGCTGTGTGAGCAAAGTGACTAGACTGCTGCAAAACAGGTATGCATGTAACTTTTTTGACATATATATGATTTTTGACAGAGAATGGACATTTTTAGTTGATATTAGATTTATAACCATGTACCCAAAAGGCTATTTTGTAAATAACTGGAAAAGTTCTATTAGAAGCTTATTCTTGCTGATGATGGTGACTGATACTCCAGAAAGTCTTCCTTGTTGTTTGAAGCTGAATCTACATTCTGGACTCCGATGTGTAAGATTTATGTATATGCAAACTGAGGAGCAAAGGATAATTGCCTTTCTTTTCAGTTAAGGTTAAATAATCTTACCTTCTCTTTCCAGTTTTCTAATAAGTTTCCCCTCTCTTGTTTTTTTGCCACCTGTGTTAGTGGGTCAAGTAGTAATAGTTTGCAGAGCAGACAGGAGAGAATGCTGTGACATGGGGGAAGAATGGAGAAGGGAACCCTCTGCTTTACTTGTAAATGACCTCTAGATCAAACATTACATCAAAGTAATCTGTAGCATAAATAGTGTTTCTTTGACTTCTTTGTGGTGTCTTTGTCAAGTGCATGCCAGCATGTCTCCAACGTCTGAGTCTCTACTGCTATGTAACAGTGCTGTAAATACAGTTCAGAGCAGCCTTTTCCAAATTCTAACACCCAAGGATGTTAGAATAAATATTCTACATTCAGGATTGCTGATCTAAGAAGCAGAAAAATATAGATAGATATATTAGGTATATATATGTTTCAGCCTTTTTATTTCTCTAGCCTATAGATGTTGCACTGAAGTAGTGAGTGGTTAGTCACTTTCAAAAATGTTTTAAGGTCAGCTGAGTTAGTTTTTTGAATATAAGTAAATAGGTCACTCCTCAGTTATTGCATGCATGCTGATTATTATAAAGGTGAACCAAAAGCTTTCTTTGTAAAGATCAGGATTTGGAGATCTATGTTAACTGAAAATACTGATTCAGGGCAGAACGCGGCAAAATTTTTGCAGCTTTTTTCCAGAAACAAATGAGTCTGCTTTCCCCTAAGTGAGAGAGATCTCCTTGCCTCCATGTCCCCTATCTGTAATGGAAGAAATATTGAACAAGCCAAAGGAAAGTAGCTTATATGCCAATGTAAGAGAAAATAAAGCAAACTTAAGCTTAATATGGAATCTGGGGAGAAAACTTGCCAGAATATCTGTAAGCTGTTCCAAACTTGTGGCTTGCTTTCAGGAAAAAAAATTACCTGTAGTGTTTTAGTATCTGTAGTAGACCTGGTTTTCCTGCTGTATGAACATAGACAGCTTGGTTTTGTTTATTTGTTTGACCTGAAGGTGATGTTTTTTAGTTCTAGCATCTTCCAGATACAGGAAAGATCTGCTCTGAATGTGAGGCTAAAGTAAGTTGAGCTCTTCAAACAGACTGCTGATGCTGAAGGGAGTAATCACATTGCCTCTTCTTCCTTTGCTTTCTGGCATCGTGCTCTTGTCCTTTTTCCCCTTGTGCTGGCATTGGCCCTTCCAGTCCTTCTGGAACTGGCTCCCCTTAGGGAGTCAGTTCAGCTCACTAAGCAGGCAGAAAACTGACTCGGGAACAAGAAAACCCAATTAACATTCTAAATAGCCTCAATACTTATTTGAAGTGTATAGGGAATGTTTTCTTTGTGTCCTTTCCTAAATGTATATAGCTCCATGGATGAAGTGAGTTAGTGTAACTCGTGCTGCCACCAAGAGGTGGAGGTTCCATTGCCTTCTACTTCTTCCTTTTTCCAGCGATGTTTCTGATCCACTTTCATTTGCTGGGACAGACTACTGCTGCTGCTGCAGAGAATTCGGTTAGTTTACAGAAAGGTCCAGCAATTACCAGAACAGACATGAGTAATAGGAAGGGTCATGTAGTTACAAAAAGGGGAGAAAGGATATATGGGGCTCTTATTTTTGTGGTCAAATGAGAAAACATTATGTTTGGTTAAAATAGCCACGTTTAACCTGAAATATGAACATCTGCACAAGCTCATATTAATTCAGCCAGTTTTTAAGAATATGCAGGACCTGGGATAATGCATTGTTTTTAAGCCAAAGGGAAACATTTCAGTTAGCTGTCAGTCTCTTCACTCCCTTACCTTTCTAGGGTGTAATGTTATCAGAAGCCTGCCTGTTTTGTCATTTTGCAGTACATTGACACTCGGGTGGCTTAAAAAAAACCCTACTATAATTTTATTCATTTTATTTGTAACATTTGTTTTATAAGTCATTTAGCAATATGTATTCCTTCAGCATGGATCTTTTGTCATTCTATTAAGTAGTTCTTGAACAGGAATTGAACCTGTAAGGTCTTTCTTGTATAAGCAGAATGAGAAGATTTTTATATAAACAGGGCTAAGGCAAATGATGTTTCATTTAGTGTTTAACAAAACTTATTTTTGAAGGCTTTTTCTAAGCTGACTGAAAGAAGCAACAGTTTTTATCCAAAAGTAGTGATTGTAGCACATTCATAAGAAATATGAAGCTTAACCTGGGGACTACCTAGTTTTGTTATCAGAAGCAATACTTTCAGTAGTAGGTACATACGCAGAACTACTTGTATTATATAATTCTTGCATAGCTTCCTTCAGTATTTATATATGGTTGGGTAAGCTGTTTTAGACAGAAACAGAGAAAAAGGAATCAATCAACAGTGTGCCAGTTTAGACTTTACCAAATGAGGATAAGGAAAACAACTGAGTGTTGAGACATAAAGTAGGAGAGTATTGGGAGTGGTGGTGAAGGGCTAGAAGGGCACTTTGGATATAAAAAAAGAAAAATCAATATTTGTTATAATTGGACATGGAGTAGACTGTTAAATCTGATAATGTGGTGCAGCTGGAAAATAAGGGGCTTTTTGTAAGCATGTTGAAGGTTTGCTTTCTACTCCAGAAGTGGAAGAATTAATAATTTTGTTACAGAATTGTCAATGAAAAATAGAAAATTCAGTCTAATAATGTACAAATTCTGGTGCAAGCTTTTCACATAACACTTTCAGAATCTTCTATTTCCCCATTCTCTACCTATCTCCCACAGATGAATCTTGAGGATTTTTTTGTTGCCTTAAAGTTAACATTAGTTCATATTGTGGCCTTGGAGGGGGAGGGCAAAGAGTCTGTTATCTCCCTCACTATTTATTTTTGGAGGATAGAAATTTATATCCCTTGGTCAAAGTTGGTGGTTGTAATAGATTAGTGAATTAACAAATAATTGGGTGAGGTGAACCTGTATGCATATAGGTTGCCTGTGAGCATGGGAGCCTTTTTTCCTTAGGAGAAAACAGGCTAAAATTTCTGTTGCCTATTTCAGATATTTTGGTCTTACTTTTTAGAAACAACTGATGGAAGAGTGAAGGGGGTTTTTCTTCTTCTTAGTCAAACCCTTACGCTATTATTTTCTAACATCTAAGGGAAATGTTAAGCTATACAATGCAAAAGTGTGGTGGATTTTTTTTTTTCCATGAACTGATATTTTGTGTAAGAGAATCTTACCTCTTTTTCAAAAACTATATGTGAAGAAACAAAAAGCACATGCCTTTCAGCATTGCTAAATAAGAAGCTGATATAAAGATAAGTAAGTAATAGTTTGGGGTTTTGGCTTATATGCATGTAAAAACAGAGTTGACCAATAAGTCTGTGTACTGTCTGTATTCTTCAACACTCTGGCTTTAGGAAATGATTGAATACTCCTGCTGTCCCTGTTTTGGGGGCTGTATGTTATATAAGCTGGCTTAAACAATAAAGGGTGGAAGTACTGTAAGCAGTCTGCTCATCAGCTTTTGTGACTGGGAAAAACATCCTGATCATCTGACTAGTCTTGGGCCTGGTGCTACATTCCATGTTGAACTAATGAGACTATGGGTTTATATGTCTCTATAACTTGCCTGTAGATATGCTTGATCTTATTGAATGATGTTTTAGTAGGATGGATCTCTTCTGTAATGGGTAGGACTGCTGCAGGAACTTCTTCTGTGTTCTGGGTAATTCAAAGCCTGAAAGCAAAGACTTCTTAACATAAGTTTTATATTTGGTTAGTACTGTAAGAAGCATTATCTGAAGTTACTTCCCTAGATTTGGTCTATTAGTCATATAAAGCTCTATGATAGATTTTATGTAACTTCTTAGCTTGTTGCTGTCTGGTACTAGAATCTGTTTGAAGTTCTGAAAGATGGCAGCAATCTTTCATTCTAGCGTGCTATGTGGAAAAGGCACCTCAGCAGCCTGTTAAATTGGCTTGTACTTAAGCATTTGTTATAAAACCCAGTTCACATCTTACACAGAACTTGGCACTGCACAAACAACATGAAGTTTGCTTTAGTGCAGAATGTGGGAGTTCACCTGTTCATAAGGAAACCTAAATTCATGCAAGCAAGTATTGAGTGAGCATGCTTTTAGCATCAGTGGGCAGATGCAGGGCTGGATTGGCTCAATCTGTGCCTGAAATGAATCTGTCTCAGTTTAGGCTTGCAGTCCTGTGGTCTGAAATACAGATCCTGCTATGCCAGTCCTGGAGATAAATAAGGCTTTGCTCTTGCCTACAATTTAAATCAGGGCCATAGAGATGTACCTTTTTGTTTGTTTGTTTTTGTTAAAAGGAGGGAAGACCTGTGGCCTTTTTGAGAAAGCAGCATAGTTATTTCAGGTATTGTCTATTGCAGAAAGTGTGCAAGTAAATAGGTAGCTGTATAACTGAAGAGGTATCAGAGTATCTGGTACTGAAGAGCATCAGATTCATGTGGCAGACTAGAATGAAGTCTGATGGCTCTGACTTCTCTTGCATTCTGTATAACTGGATTTTGTGATAGCATTGCACAGGCAGTGGGCTGAGAAACTAGTAACAGACTTTTAAAACAGATGGTGTAGTTGCAGCTCTGTATATCTGAGGTGTGTAGGATCTTTGTTGGGCAACTATCAACAATGGTATCAGGTCTGATCTCATGCAGGTTAACCTAGTGCTGTGACTCCCTTTGAAGGCAAGACTTTTTAAAAGAAATCTGCCTGGCACTTCTGGCATTTTGGAGGCAGCATGTTACAAACACATCAACAAGTTTCCTCACTGTTGATGGCAAAACAGCCTTTAGCATCATTCCATGATCTGGCTTTGATGTGTACCGGACCCTTGTATATTGTGTACATAGAGTATACCTGTATCAGAGTACCTTACAGTGGAGATAGGTATCTGGCTTATTCTGTCCCAAGGTATTTAAAAACAGAAAAAAACTTTCCAGATTGAGGTCTCTCAGCTTGAAAAAGGTGCCTGTTGAGGCTTACTTTTCTTTCTAGCTACATAGAAAGGGGAGTTTGATTTCTGAAATGCAAGATGAAGCACAAAGAAGAAATTAAGCTGGCTTTACTCATAACAATTTTAAATTTGCAAGTCTCTGAGTGTGCTCCTAAAGCAGTTGCCCATGGTTACTTTACTGACTTTATCAGGAGTTGATGGTATTTACCTTGCTATTGATTTATGGTTGTTAACAGGGCATGGAATAAAAGAAATAGTTTCAGAAATTATTGTCTTTCAGCTGTATAGAGTTTTTGTGCTCTTCTTTCAATTGTCTGCCTTCCTTCTCTGTAAGGCATAGTTTGGGAAAATTCCTAAATGAAACATCCTTTTGGGTGGGAGATCAGTGTGGCCTTGACTAAAGTCTGTTATGCAATTTGTTAAACCAACAACTATTAATAACAGTTGTACTCTTACCCCCAAGATGTGGTCCATCCAGGTCAGGGATGAGGCAATAAGGCTGAGCACCAGTGCTGTGTGGCACTGCTCTATGCAGTAGTAGGTTTTTTTTCTCCATTACTTTGAGCTTGTCTGCTACATAACATGAAAAGCATTTTCCATAGCTGAACCTGAGGCTAAGCAAACCTCCAAGCTCTCATGTGCAGACCAGCTCCCTTCGGAATTAAGAAATAAAGTCTCATGCCATTGCAGCCGTGATCAGCTGTGCTCCTCAGCCTCCTGCAGTAGCGCAAGGAGGCAAGTTGTGTGTCATGGTATATCTCTGAGGAATGGGCAGATTCTGGCTTGAGAGAGTTGTTTTGCTTCAGGCTGAATCTCAGTGGTATCTTGGTTTCATCTACTAAATGAGTTTCATCGTAGTCAGAGGTCAAGCCTCGGTAATCCATGACTGCTCTGTAAACCCTGAAGCATCTCAAAAAAGAAAGGGGAAAAATAATGGAACGACATAAACTTTGTCTTTCAGTTACAAGAATTAAACTTTGGAAAAATCACAACATACTGACAGGAATAGGCCAAAAGGAATTGGGTTTTTGTCGGTTAGAGGAGAGAAGGATGAGGGAGGGTGTAAGCCTTGAGCTTGTGAAAGGCTATAGTAAAAGGGATGGTAATCTGTTGTTCTTTGCCACTGAGAGAATTGCACAAAATAGTACACCTACCTTGCAATAAGGATGATCCAGAGTGTACGGAGAAGAGAGTGAATTTAAGAGTAGTTAAGCCCTGGAGCAGATTGCTGAGACAAAGGTTTGTATTCCCTCCATGGAAAATTTTGAAGAAAGGATGGATGAAAATTGGTCTGGCGGTGCCTGCCTCTGTATCAGTGACACTGGGCTTAGATGCTCCTTTGAGTTCCTTTTTGGTAAGAGTTCTGTGATAACAGCCTGATTCTTGTAAATGCTGAGTAAAAGATGTATTTGCTGAATACCTGTTTCTTCACTTAAATAAGCCTGCAAAGTAAGCACACTATTTTAACATCTTGTGTTTATCATCTCCAGCTGGTCCTCTTCAGAGTTTGACTTGAATGAAATCCGCCTGATAGTTTACCAAGACTGTGAGAGGAGAGGCAGACAGGTCTTATTTGATTCCAAAGCAGTCCGCAAAATTGAAGAAGCTGTGGTTCAGGTATGAAATGCTAATTTTGCTTTTGTCCTACTGCTCTTTTGTTTCCCTTACCAAAACCAGGAATTTTAATATGACAGCGTCAACTTCTTAATCTTACTTGTAATCTCTCACTTGATTGTGATTCTGTGATAGCTGCAACAAGAATGTGTTAGATTCCAAAAAGCCTATGAACACATATCTGGTATTTGGAATTTATAATATAAATATGGTATTGAAACTTAATAACTTAGAGCTGATTCAAGCAAAGCAATCTATACCCCTTTAAACTGAGTATTTCCTTAGCCTTTCTAATGTCAACTGGTATTGTTTTTTGTTGTTAGCCCTGGTTGTGCAGTCCCATTGTTCCAGTGATGTCTAGCATGTCTCTAAATGTGCTTGTCTTCCTTTGGTGTTTGGAATAGTAAAAGGTGTTGGCTTTATGTGAATTAAAACAACTCCACTTTGGCTAACCATGCCGTAATGTGTAAGACTGACACGTGGCAATATAAGACCAGTAAGTTTTGGTGACGCACATAGAAGCAAGAGTAGGTGCTGTCAAGATGCAAATTCTTTGTGCTGCTTTCCAGGCACACAAATTGTGGAGCAATGCTTCCAGCAAACTTAGGTGATTTTAAGACAAGTAAACCAATAGTGTTTTCTGGTTTGTGGTCATGTTGGGTTTTTTCCTACTAGCTCTGTGTTTCTCTTCTACATTGAATTATTTCAATGTTTTGTTTGTTTTGAAGCCTTTGTTACAACCAGCAGCTTCAGCCTGTTGGACTAGCATGGCTTGTTGTAGAATCACTAGCTATATACGAATAGTTGTGACTTGTAGAAATTATTTACAATGATGCTTAAAAACCAGCAATCTATATTTCAGTCACACTGCAAGTATGTGTGCCATTGTGCCAAATCAGTAAGACTGATGAGCATCTACTTAAGAGGGTAAATGGGTCAGACTGGTCTGTTAATCTTGCTCCCACCCCCCACCCCGCCCTCACCCCCAAATTGTTACTTTGTATCTTAAAGTTGGCTTAAAACACACAGCATGTGAAGAAGAAATACATTTCTGGCTTCATTTAAATGCTCAAATTACTCCACTTGCTTGAATACTTTAGAAGTTAACTACAAAATGTCCTATTGGAAACTCTGTGCAACACTGACATAAAACAGATTATAACCTCCCTCATAACACATGGTACAGGCTATAATCTGTTTTCTAGCCAGACACTAATCTAGGTACCCTTTTAAAATAGCCAAAGCACTTTGAATGGTGTGCAAACGCATAGATAATAAGTGATCTTGAATGTTTGGGTTTTTGTTTGGTATGTTATCAAACAGTGAGCCTAAAACTTGATTTATTTAAAGTTAAAGCAAAATTACTCTCAGGCTCAGTCCTGTTTAAACTGAAGTCAAGAAAGTGTGTGTGTGTGTGTGTATACTGTGCATTTATCCATTTTCCTGAAATAGAGTAAAGCTTATTCACATGGTCTTTAAAGTATGCAGTAAAGTTACTTGGGAGAACTAGCAGGTCTGTATTCCATTTCACCATATGTTTGTTTAATATACTGCATTTCTTTTCAGTGTTCTTCATCTAATCTCCAATTCTTTCTGCAGATGGCATATATCAGACCACTTTTATTAGGCACTTTTTGTCAATAGCTCATTAAACATGTGACTACTGACACTGGTGCATTTCTAAACCCTTAATGACAGTCACATTGGGATTAGATAAGCAATGGCACATAAATACTATGCCAGGAAAAACTGCACAAAAGGAGTGCAAATATAGGGTAAAATATAGAAGTCCAGGATTTTACTTTTTTTAACATGCTAGTAGGCTTATTTTTAAATCAGTAAAGGAGCTCTACTATCACTGTAGTTTAAACTCAACTTTTAAAAAAAATGACAGATCATCTACACCACTTTTGTTGGCTTGCTCTTCTTTTTCTTCTGCATCTTTCCTTTTGCCCATTTCATCATATGTCATCATGACTTGAGTATTCTAAAACTTGCTACAGTTACTGCACTGTAGTATTAGAAGTGTTCATCTTAAAAATCAGTCTTGTGGAATATTCTACTTTTATTTCAATTTAATTTCCTGTTACTGTTCTTTTCTTGTCTTGCTGAACCCAAAATATGTGATGTAAATTTGGCTATGGCTGCTTTTTACTAGCATCTAGGTTATTACTGTTTCTTTTTGCCTACTTGCTTGTTTTTTCTGTAAACTATCTACATGTACCTTGTTGGCATTTTAAAATAAATTGGTTGATCTCTGCCAATGCACGTTCTCAATGAGGTAAACCATGCTGGTACAAAATGAGACTTATAAAAATACACTTCATTCCAATGTGCACCAAATGAATGAATGTTTACATTAATACACATTAAATATATGTTCATTAAGGGATTTTGAATTTATTAAACATATAAAAAGAGTGCGAGATAAGCTTTTAAGACTTTCTAAGTGGTTTTCATTGTTGCAAGGTTACACTTTTGCTCCCTTCATACAAATCATTTCAAATGCATGTGAGAAGTGTGTTTGAAATAATGTCGACCTTTTAACTGACATCTAATGGACATTCAACTTGGGGGGGGGGGGGGGGGGGGGAGGGAAAAAAAAAAAAGAGCAGAAGAAGAATTATAAGCAAATCCCAGTTAATTAAATGCAGCTTGTCTTTTGAAGCATGTATGAATAGCATTAATGTACATCAGTATCTTTCCAAGACTTCCTTTACACCTTTCTGATCAGATCTAAGATGTTAAAATATAGTGACTTGGGAGTAAACTTTGAATTAAACAGTCATCTGGATTTAAACATTTATTTGCTTGCCTTTTTTTACACAACTCCTTTACAAGTTTAACAAATAGATTTTTATAACCTGGTAGTTCTACCAAATGATGAATTATTCAACTCTTGGTTTCGCTGGCTGTTCTGTTTAAGAAATCTGTTAATCAGTTGGGGAGCAAAAGTTTTATATGCAATTTGAGTGATTAATTGTGCAAATGATTACAGAAATTGGTTTATAAGCAACCCATAAGCTGAGATTTTGTTTATGTCAAGTTTGGCAAATGTTGCACAGAGCGATTCATGACAATTGGGGATGATCTTCCAGTGGAACTTTTGACTAATTACTCTGACTATGTGCAATACTATGAAAACTTGTCTCACAAGATAAATGTGAGAGTAATTCTGCACTTTCTCTGATGCTGGCCTTTTTAAAAAATCTTAAACTCATTTTTTGAACCAAATAACAGTATCTTTTATTTCTGTTGATTACCTGTAGTTTAAGAAAAATCTTGCTGTGATATGTTTACAGATGGGAGGTCTTATGTTTGCTTTAGTTGTTTTCATCATATTGCTCTGTTTTGACACAGAAAATGGCAGAGGATGCTTCTGTAAAAACTTCTGCCAAGAACTGCCAAGCAAGCAATGGGAACAACAATATTTCTTCCCATAGTCCCTCAATAAGCTGTATGCAAAATATCAAAGAACAGATACCAAAGTATCAGGTAATGTTCGTTACTTTTCTTGCTTGTATTTATCCATTTTACTGAAGAAGTTTGTATATAAAAGCCTTAACTTATATGCATTGAAAGACTAGTTATACTTCCAGTATATTACAAGTTAATCTGAACCTTGAGATATCTACCCTATCTTTAAAGTCTTGTAGAGTAAGAAAATGTGGGTACGTCTTAAGCTTTTGGTCTGTCTTGGTCTTGTCTTTGAAAGAGTTACCAAAAATATTTAATAGCATTATTATTTGTGAAGGCCATAAAAAGCACTATGCTGTTCTCTGTTCTTGGTTTGAAAGATGTCTACCTATGCTTCAGGTCAGTTCTGAAGAAGCTGTTGAACATGGTATATTAAGAATCCCTTTAGTCTCTCTTACTATAACATGAAATTTTTAAAAGAACTATTTTTTTAGGTACTCTGGCTGTTTCTCAGTAAAAGCATAAACATTTCATCTAGAAAAATTTAATTTGAAGCATGTATAGGTTAAGGTATTAAAAAATGATGCTTAACTTCGAAGGTAAAGTGATTTCCTTCAAAATTGACAAACTTCTCTCCATATTTGCTATTGATGATCAGCCTTTGAAACAAAATAAGAAATTGGTCTCGTTATACTTAGAAACAGAGTCTTCACAAAGTATTTTCCAGTCAAAAGTGTTTCTGAGAAGCTTTCGATAAGGGCAGGGAAGGAGAATTTACTCATCTGAATAAGGAAGACAGGTTTTGTGGTATGGATCCCCAAGCATTAGACTAAGTCCTGTGAACACCTACAGATCTCATCAAACACTGTTATATGGCAATGTTGCTGGACACAGCTATTTCTTTGCAAATGCAGTAGGTCTTTTCTTCTTTCTTGCCTTTGGAGGTCCCCCGGGAACAAGGGTAACAATGTCCATCTAATGAGCAGAACAGAGTATGTCTTCCAGCTGTACTTGCTTGTAATTGCATTCAGTGTGTTAGAAACACACAGGATCTTAGTCTGCATGGACAAGCAGAACTTACTTGTATTCTCCATTCAAAATGTAGTACTATGGCACTATATAAAATTGAAATAGTATGCCAAGTTATTACTGACTTTGCTCTTCCCGTCTTGTCTGTGTAGTACACCAGACCAGCCTCTGATGTCAACATGTTGGGAGAAATGATGTTTGGCTCAGTGGCAATGAGTTACAAAGGCTCCACCTTGAAAATTCACTATATACGGTGAGTGTCCTTTTCTGTGATGCACTCTCTTGTCAGGCATTTGGAATTGATGACTCACTGAAATGACTGTTTATCCTTTCAGCTCTCCCCCACAGCTGATGATAAGTAAAGTCTTCTCAGCCAGGGTAGGAAGCTTCAGTGGAAGCAACAATAAGTAAGAACATTATTTTGATTTTCTTCTTTTTTTTTTTTCTTCCCCATCCAATGCAGTTGTCTTTCCTTCTTTCTCCTTTTGTAGTCCTTCTGTCACTGCTTGTAAATTTGACTTAGCCAAAGTGGAAAAGTCTAGGAGAAAATCAGAAGTGGTGGCTGTGGCGAAGGATTCTCTTGATAGATCCCAGCCAGGTCACCCAAGTTTAAAAAAAATAAAATCTCTGAGTTTCTGCTTCTTAATTTGTCCGGGGCATGCAATAAACTTCAGAGGTTAGGTGCTTTGGATAATCAAAGCCTCTATATCTTCCTGTTGCCAGAAGGGTGAAGAAGGGGTATATGATGAGAAGGCTTTGTGTCCCTGTACCCCACTTCTGTTTCCTTCAACAATGACAGAAGGTATACTGTTTCTCATCTGTTCCCTTTTTCCTTGTCCCGAAAATGGGCAAATGTGAATAAACTGAATCCCAAATGTGACGTACAGAAACTTACAATAATTCAAAGAGGGAGCCTATATAGAAAATAAATGCCTATTTCCTTACAGTTGCAGAAAACCTACTGGTCCTTGAGTTTGACTGTAAAGTTAATCTTCAGCCTTCTCTTTTCCATAAAACGAGCCTAATTCTCAACTAATGTTAATACCTATTGATCACATTCTTAAGGAACACTGGCTTTTTCCCCCTTTTTAGCTTACAAGATAGCTTTGAATACATCAACCAAGATCCTAGCTTGGGAAAGTTGAGCTCGAATCCGAATGGTTTGGGAACCTGTCGCAGTGGAAGTAACTTAGGTAAATATTTCCAGGTTCTGTGTCTTTGTGACAACATGAGGCCATCTGTTTGTTCAGTTTGGTGGTTTTTTCCTGTGTATCACCTTCTTTTTTTTTTTCTTTTTTACTTTTTGCATTGCATTTTCTCTACATTGCTTTTGTTTCCTAGGTGTGTTACAGCTGTGTAGCAGCAAACTGCTGCAGGGTGTGTCTGAAGGAGGTCGCCTCCGGCTCATCCGCAGTGCTTCTTTCTTTGCAGGTTTGTGTGGAATGCCAACCACAGTGTGACCCATCTGTATGCACACACAAATCCAGCTCCTTCTGAATCCTTGCAGGACATACATAACTACTCTCTAGAAACAGAAAGGGCTAAAATGGTGACAACAGATGTATCTGGCTTATACTTAAAAATCTTTCTTCCAAAAAAATAGCTAAATTAATTGCTTTTTGTTCATATTTCTTTTCCAGTTCCTGCGTTTAATTTTAAAGGTATTTTTATGCAGTGTTTTTAATAATAAACGAGCCCTTATGTTTCTTAGAGAACTTATGTTTCCTGGCTTATAGCTGATTTCTTGCTAGTGTGCAGGTGTCTTGCTGGTGTACAGCTTTTTCTTCTCTTACCTCTTGCTACTTTTTTTTTTATAATTTGATGGCAGACATTCAGAATTAATTCTTGAGCTAAGTCTGGGAGGCTTTAAGGTTTTTTCTTTAACAGTATCAACTTTAATTTTCAAAACTTTAAACTACACAAAGTCTCTTTTTACAGGCATACTGATGACCCATGCAGGTGGGTAGATCTTAGGCCAAATTAGTTCTGTTAATTGCAAAAATGTGAACTGGAATACCAATGCATTTTCTTCACAGCCTTTGCAAATCTTGCATGCTCTACAATTTGAGTGACTCTGCACTACTAACACTTTAATGTAATACAACATAGGTTGACTATTTCTTACTGTGATGCTTTGTGGATAGTAAATTTCTGCTTGGGGAGTGAATCAGAAGCTTAATGGACCTATTTGACCATTTCATTATGATGTTGACCTATGTAAAATGACAATCTTGCACATACAAAAAAAGTGTCAAGTGTGACAGATGGGGGTACCACCAGCTCTCATTTTCAAAGCATATCTGATTTCTGATAATGTAGACTGTATTCACATTCTTAAGCTTCTTAGAGATGTTTTTAGATTGGGGCAAATAACCAACTTCCTCTAGTAACAGGATACTTAGCATGGAATACTGTTTGCTGCCACCTTTGCTCACACCATACTGCTTATTTGGAGTAACAGTACAGGACGTAACTTTGCTGTTTTATGACCTTTAAACTTTAACTTTTTTTTAAATGCTGACAAATAGAAAATATTACATAACTCATTATACTATTGATCTAATCTGTTTGTTTTAGCACACAGCACGCCTGTTGATATGCCTAGCAGAGGACAAAATGAGGACAGAGACAGTGGCATTGCTCGGTCAGGTATCTGCTGTCTGTCTTGTTTGCCTGCTTTTGTAATTATGTTACAATTCTTTGGTGCAGTTATTCACCTGAAATATAAGCACCTTATGACCCATAAATCCAAATTTTTTTGGATCTGCTAAGTGGTTTTCCATCTGCTTTTGCCCCAAGCCTCAATGCAAGAATATTTGTAATGATATTCTTTGTTTACAGCCATTATTTTCTGGTTTCTTAACCAGTTTATAATTTGGAGAAAGAACTGGCTGGAGCCTTTACTAAAGCAAGGGAAGAGAAGATGTTTTTGCATTGAATAGGAAAAGGAGGCCAGGAGACCTGTCTGTTGTAATGGGAGGGCAGTACCTCTTAGGACAGAATGCTTTTAATGAGAGTAAGATGACTTTTAGTATGTTCTAGCAGGGAAGATCTCTGACTTTATAAGAAAGTCCTCAGGCAGCATGATTTACTTAAAATAATTGTGTCTCCTGTTGCAAGTGAGTTTTGTGAAAAAGATTAGTAAGCAAGAGCAATATGTGTGGGAATTTGTTCCCAGTTAGAGTATGAAGAAAAATATTTAACCAGTGCTCCTTGTAATTCAGTATATGTGGGGTTTCTTGCTTTCTTGATAGCATCTCTGAGCAGTCTTCTGGTGACTCCTTTTCCATCTCCAAGCTCTTCATCATCATCTTCTAGCAGCTACCAACGTCGCTGGCTCCGAAGTCAGACAACCAGTTTAGAGAATGGAATTATTCCAAGGTGGTGAGTGCAACACCTTTCTTCTTACAACAGCTGTTTGGCAGTAATTTAAGCTAAATAGACCCTAAGCCTCTTTTCTTTAAAAGGACAAATCCTGTTATTGAATGCTCTCAATTCAGTCTGACTTCTGTGTATGTTATATAAGACTGCCAATATGAAGAAAGATCAATTTTTCACTGAATATGAACTGCAAGGCCTGATTTGAAATATACTTATTTTTATTGAACGTATAGGCTGTGTCTGAAGCCACATTCTGAAAAGCAAATTAAAGTGTTTCTGAAGGAGCAGAGCATCCTGTTGAAATGAAATGGACTGGACTGTAATAGCACTGCTGCCATAATTACATTATACTGTGATGAAGTCTGACTAGTGAGCAGTTACTGAAATTTTGGAGTAATAGTCTATGATGACTCTCTTGGCTGGTATAGGATGTTCTAGATGTGACTTCTGCCAAAACAGGAAGAAAAAAAAAGAAAGCTATGATCAAAAAGCTTGGCTTCTGGTTTGGAATTTTATTAGCTTTTGTAGCTTAGCGGCATAACAAAGCATGGAATGCGGCAGACCTTTCATAGCTAATAAGCAAATTCTTCCCTTGTCAGTTGCAAAATAGCAAATGATTCTTCATTATCTGCTCATAAGTACTCATCCACCTGCACCCAGAGACAGCATGGAACTAGTAGAGAGCCACAAGAAATTCCTATTGTTTGGCCTCTCTCCCTCTTCACTCTTTCAGTTAAGAGAAGCTTAAAAGCTGCCAGTTAAAATATGTCGTCAGTAATAAACAAAAACAAAACCTTTTTGAAGAAACTTCTTTTCCTTGTGTCAACACTTGCACCTTTTTCCTAGATAGTCTTACTGAATCATTTTTAACATGAAGAATCATGCAGTGATGCTAATGTAGCAGTCATGCTTTCTGCATCATGCTTGCAGTTTAGAATAAGGTAGTAAGCATTTTGCTTTCTGTAAATCGAAGTACTTCTTAGTCTAGTTTCCTAAAGAAATAAGGCTGAGAGCAATGCATGCAAAAAATTAAAACATTTAGGGTAAATAAGATAATTTCAGCCCAGCTTAAGAAGTAGCCAAAGTTTCACAAATAGAAATTTCCTCAAAGTGTTATGAAAGTAACAAATTGTTTAGAGGAAAGTAGCCTTTTTGGGCTGCTTGTTCACTGTAGGGAGTAGGTTGTGTTTCTTCCACATTGGAGAATCTATGCTGGGGAAAGATATTGGAAGCAGGACATTGTTATTTCCACTATCTAGAACTACTCTTGAAATGAGATTCTTTCTAAGCCAAAAAGCCTCTTCAGATACTTGTTTTCTGATTACTCGCTAGAGAAACAGTAGAATTCTGGTTGGATGCTTCAGTGACAGCAGAGTTTGCACTTCAGTTTGTGCAGCCAAGATTCTACAGTCTCTGTGACTGGTGTTTGAGGCCAATAGCTCAAAGAAAATGAGATGTCTAGCTGGAACTCCATGTAGTCAATTGGCAGGCAAGCCAGATTAGCAGCTTTGTTGAAAAGGGTTCTCTCACAGACCTAAATTCTTCAGTTTCTGTTCCTGGGAAGCAGTACAAAAGCTTGTGATGTTTTTTAGATGCTGACTGACCGTCCTTTCCCAACTTCCTTGGGAATTTCTGTCTCTGCATGCAAGTTCCTGAAGTTCAAATGAGGTTATGTTATTTGTCTTGAACTCTGGTTTCCCACAAGCTGTTTTTTTGGGTGTTTTTTGTTTTGGGTTTTTTTTTTTTTGCTAGGGTTTTATGGTGTGTGTGTTTTCCTGTATTCCTGGACTCATACCTCTATGATGATAAACTTTTGTATATTTAACGTTTTCAAACCAGTTAAACTGTAAACCACTTATTTTTAGAATGAACTTAGAATGAATGCTTAGCATTCAGGCTTTCCTCTTGTTAATTGCTTCATAGTGGTCTATAAATGTCATAGGCTCCATTTCAAGATAATTCTGATATGAAAAGCCTTCAAGCTTTTAATTACTACTCACTGATATTGCAGTCTTAACTCACAAAGAAACTCCAAAACCGAGCTATTTCCATATGAGCTGCTGCTCTGAATGTCTCCATTTGTATTCTAATGGCTTTCTTGTCTGTTCTTATCCTTCTCCCCTTACAATTTTTCAGTGGATTAAAAGCCATTATTTAATTAAAGTTCCTTCCAAAAGACATTTTGACCATACTATTTTACTTATTGATGTATATACTTTTTAAAGATGTTTTTTCAGTGAAATTGATCAAGAAACTTTAAGCAAGAAAAAATAATAGTTCTGTAAATCCAGCAACATCAATATCTAGCACTGCAATGCAAGTATTTGTGGAGAAACAGGGTGAGGGGATTGCCGCCCTTTTGTATAATGACAGAAAAACTTATGTTGGGCTGGGACTTGTGGATATCATCCAAATCAGTTGCCTGTGCAAAGGACTAGCTTGGAATTTAGATCAGGTTGCTGTGGAACTTGTCTGAGTCTTGAAAATCTCCAAGGATGGGGATTCCACAGCCTCTCTGGACAGTGCCCTCCAGTGTATTGAGCATTTCCCCCCATTTGGCATCCTCTGCAAACTCAGTGAAGGTGTGTTTTGATCCACAAGCAAGGCTTATAATAAAGATATTGAGCAGTATTGATCACAGTATCAACCCATGTGTAATATTGAAAAGTGGCATAACTGTTGAAAGAAATGTGGCAGAATTATCAAGTGAATCAACAGAACTTGGGGGAATAATAATGGTTGTAAAATAGCCACTGTGTATTTTTTTTTAGCAGAAAACAAAGCATTTTAAACTGAAGTATATCCAACTTTGAGCTAGGCACACATGTAGGCGTTAGTAATTACTGTGAAAACACAAACTTAAGTGGTGACATTTTGTCTTCAGTTAAAATAGAAAGTTTTATTGTGCATGGTTTAGTGCCTTAAAATGCCCATCCTAAGATGCTGGAACAGTATAGGTAGCACGTTTCCAAACTTCCCTTGTGAGCAGCAGTACAGATTCAAGAGCATCATGGACATCCTGCTGAGCACCTAGGTAGGAGCTTGAGTGCTGGATGCAGTTCAGAGCTCTGAAATGACCTTTAACCTTTTTTGCTAATGATTTTGTGTGTTATGTCTCCATTCCCTTTTCTTAATCTCCCTTAAAGAAATCCAGAAGGAGGTATTCTGTAGTAGCTCTGTTTCAGAGGAAAGTGTTCACATTACTTTAGGAGCTGGCCTCTTGTGGGTTGCCTTTCTCCTATCTGAGCAAAGATAGGTCTTATCCATCAAAACGTTGGGTATTCTTTGTTCAGAGACAGGTGACAGCAAAGTCTTACGTAGTCAGTCAAAGGACACCTAAGAATGAATAACCTTCTCTGTATAGAGAGATATGGATAGAAGACAAATTACCTCTCAGTACATAGATAACTGTCCTAACAAATCTGTCTTACAGGTCCACTGAAGAAATGTTTAGTATGGCTGATGAAAGCTGCAGCTCCAATCCTGCAATGGTTCGGAGGAAAAAAATTGCAATCAGCATAATCTTTTCTCTGCCTGAAAAAGAAGAAGCACAGAGAAACTTCCAGGATTTCTTTTTCTCTCACTTTCCTCTTTTTGAATCTCACATGAACAAGCTGAAATATGCAATAGAAAAGGTACAGAATACTAGTTTGGCTTAATGTGGAAAAATAAGTGTCAAGCAGAATGAAGTATTCTAGAATCTGATAGATGAAGAGTGGGAGAAGGTGCGTGGTTTCAAGCTTCCCTCCCTCCTTACACATGTAGTCTTGAGCCTGAGCCCAATGTAGGAATTCAGCATTTGCTGAAAAAGGGGTGCAGTTTCTTTTCTAGTCAGAATGAGAATGGAGAGCTTTATGCTATGGGTGGCTTTTCTTTTTCTTTCCTTCTCACCATATTTCACTATGAGGTTTTCTTGACTCCCTGGTGATTGTGGAAATGATGGTGTTCTATCCTTTCATGCAGTCACTAAAAAGAGACACACAAAATATTTGTTGCTGTCTTCCCCTTACTCTCTCAAATGTTCTTTTCTTACCCTATGTCTAATCTTAGGGATTGGCCTCTCATGAGGTAGAGGGAGGTTGGCAGCTATTGCTGTCCTGAGTGGCTGTGTAGCACTGGGGCTAGATCTTAATTATATTGACGTGTTAATGAAGTTTAAAAGATGGAGAATGCAAATCCTTTAAGAAGCTGTTTTGTGTCTCTAACTCTTAATCAAGGCCATGATCTCCTGTAGAAAAATAGCAGAATCCAGCCAAAGAGTGCAGGTTTATATCAGCCGTGTCATGGATGCCCTGGAAGAATTCAGGTGAGTTAGTGGGATTCTGAATTACAAGGAGAGCGCTTCTCATGCCCCTCTAAATATATTTGTTACTTCTAGTTATAAGCAGCTGGATGCTGGGTCTTGGAATTTAGCCAGTCTTTAGTGTTAGTGTGAATGAATTTTCTGTGGGTAAATGTTTTTAGAAAACTTTAGCAAAACCAGCTCAGCCATTTTCAGAATGAGAGAAAAAGTAGTTCTGTTGCACTCACCTGTACCTGGGACTGTCAGTTAAAATCTTTAATATCTCATCAAGAGTTGGCTTCTGCTGATGCCTGCGCAGACACGTGGATTGTTGTATTCAGGTAGATAAGTTGTCTACTCCTAGCCATAGATGCTGAACAGTGTTAACTGACAAGAAAGTTGCTGTCACAGGCTCTCTTTTTGGTAGCTAGGAGAGGAAGGAATGGCCAGACGCCAAGAAAGGCAGCCCAGGAGAGAGTGACAAGACTTTGGTGGGATGGAGTTTCTGTGATGTCTGGAATGTGGAATTGAATCACTGCAATGAATAGAATGGGTTCTGTCCCCCCTCAAAATTGTTTCTGAATTGTTTCTCTGAATACAAATACACAGGGGAATGCAAGAAAGGGAAGACAAATATGTTAATTCGTATGAAGACACTAAGTTACTGATACACTGAGTTAAACAGACTAGTGTTCTGGGACACTAGTAAATAGTGTGTCTGGAAAACTCTTCCAGTTTGTTTAGTGTCCTAGATCTTACAAAAAAAAAAAAATTAAGGGACAATAGAAGAGGAAATCTTGTATTTGCAAGATTGAAATGTGCATGTTGACGCTTACTTTTTGGGAATTTTGTTTGAGCAGAGTTACCATCTGGAACCTATATTCTGTTCCAAGGATTGCAGAACCTGTGTGGCTTAATATGATGTCCAGCACCCTGGAAAAGAATCAGCTATGCCAGCGTTTTCTTAAAGAATTTACATTTCTGATAGAACAGATCAACAAAAATCAGTAAGCACCCCCCATCCCCTTTTTCTTAAAAAAAACTTGTGTGCTTCACAGTGCGTGTGGATATGTTAAAGCACTTAATGGGATATTCTTCTGCTGGTGTTACTTTGGTCATATTCTTTTTCCTAGGTTCTTTGCTGCTTTGTTAACCGCGGTGCTGACATATCATCTGGCTTGGGTCCCAACAGTAATGCCGGTTGACCATCCTCCCATAAAGGCCTTCTCTGAGAAGCGTACATCACAGTCTGTGAACATGCTGGCAAAATCCCATCCGTATAATCCTCTCTGGGCACAGCTTGGTCAGTAGGAAATGGAAAACTTCAAACTTCTCTATAACTAGGACCTTCCTGGATCCACTCTCCTTATCTAAGAGCTACTTGTTATCCAGATGATGTTTGCTGACTTGCCTTGCTGTAAGCTGGGCAGAGCTACCAACAGATGTCTTGCGCCTGGTTAACCAGAGCATTTGGAGGCCTGTTTGCATAGCCTGAGTGCTCTGCTTTTTTCCTTGGTGCCTTGTTGTCATCCTCTGTTACACTGCCTAGTTAAGTAACTTGGTATAGAAGTATTAAGATGGTGCAAGTGCTGTGAATGATCTGAGCAGTTTGGGAAGAACAAGAGGGAACAGACTGGATTGAGGGGAGTTCTCTGGGCCTTGGAGGCCCTGTTTAGTTGAAACTGCCTTGGCTACCTCCTTTTATCTCTTTCTCACAGAGCTAGGATGGACACCAAGACAACAGAGTAGAAGTCTGGCAACTGGCAGTACCTCCATTCATTCACAGTTACGTGAGTGGGCTTGGGCCAAGATTTTCTTTCTATGCCCAGCTCCTCAGGCTGGTCTCTGACAAATATTTCATAACTTATAAGTTATCTTGATATAGGTGATTAAATAACTGTTGCCAAATGAGTAGGTGAGTGAGCGCTGAGAGAATAATGCTGCTCTTTGAAAATTCCTACTCTTCTTGGCAGCAACTGTGAGTCTGACATCAGATCAGCCTTAACTTTAACTGATATACTATATTGCCATATAAAGTAACACACATGCACACTAAAGCAATAATGTGAGTTTTATACTGTGCTACTGTCTGTGTTTCTTTCTAATTGCTTCAGTTACATTTGTTACTCTCTGCAATCTTCATGAAACTTAAGAATTGCTACCTTGGTCATGTAGTTGTAGTAGAAGTGTTTCCTGTTTTAGGATGTCTGTAAAATGTTATGCAGGGGACTAATGGATTAGACTTGGAGGGGAAAATAGAAGCTTGCTCAGGGTGTTGAGGATGGAGCCAGGCCTGGGGTTATAAAAAAACCAGCTGGACTGGAGGCGTAAGATCGGCAGTAGCTCTTGTGGTCACTCCCAGGAGCCAGCACTGGTGACTAGTCAAGAATCTGTTTCTCTTCTTGCCTTCCCAGGCTGTATGTTGCTACCAGCGTTGGCCTAGCCAAGTTCTCAGTTCCTGAACTCAAAATGCTTTCTGGTTTTGTTTCATTTATTATAAAGTCTAAAAGCCACTATCAGATGGTTGCAGTAACTGATAATGAAAGTAAGATGTTGCCCTCTGGTGGTCTCTTTCTTTAGAAGGGGGGGAAATGATGGATTAAAAACTCATAGACTTAGTGCTTTAAAATGGAAGTGACTTTTTATTAAGGAAAGGATTTTGACATACCTGTCTTTCCACCTTCAGACCTATGTTTTCATTACATATTATGTATCCGTTACAGTTACACACTGATACAACTGTAAGTACCACTGTCAGGAAGACATAAGACTGTCTTTTAAACATCATCTTCAATCTAACAGTCTTAACAGCAGGCATTAGTATGTTTTGAAGACCACAATTTTGAGGTTTTGTACTGTCTTATTAGTAATGGTTTTATATAAAAGTCAATTGTGCAAATGAACATGAAGCCTGAACCTGATTTCCATAGTAACTGTGCTCAACTTGAAAGTAAAGAGGTATCTTCCCATTTCCTTTCCAAATTGCTAGTCCTTGTGGCCCACCAGGCATTGAGGTTAATTTCAGCTGAGTAGTCTGAAGCCCACTTTCCATTACTGAGGAATGAGTTTGTTGGCATGTTAGGCTATGGGGCTAGTTGCAAGGGTGTTCTTAAGTGGGGGAAGACAGCACACTGGTGCCACCATGCAGCAGCCTCTCCAGTGCATTGCTAGCATCATGGGAAATGGCAGATCTTAACAGATCTTGAATGGGTTGCCCAGAGAGGTAGTGGAGGCCCCATCCCTAGAAACATTCAAGGTCAGGTTGGCTGGGGCTCTGAGCAACCTGATCCAGTTAAAGCTGTCCCTGCTCACTGCAGGGGGGTTGGGCTAGATGACCTCTAAAGGTCCCTTCCAACCCAAAGCATTCTGTGATTCTGACAGGGGAGACTGTGAGTGAGAGCAGTGGAATTACTGTCTCATTGACCCTTGTTTTGCAGGACGGAGTCAGGAGCCTTATTTCTTTCATGTTCTGTATGGCAAAGAGGAGGCTGGGCATAAATGTGTTTGGTTTTGGGGTTGTTTGGGGGTTTTTGTGCTGTTTTAGTCCCCTCCTGTTGAGGCTAGAGGTCCTCTTGCCCTTGGTAAAAAACTTCCTGAAACTCTGATTATAACTTTCATTTAGTGTTGCTTCTTGAGGTCTAGTACAAAATCCTGGTGGCAAATTCAGTCCAGAACATTTGAGCAGCCCTGAGCAAGGACTTAGCACCTGAAACAATCTGGTAGATTAACAGGTAGCTGATAAAGCCTCAAGCCAGAGAAGCCTGCTTTCAAGGTGAACACTTATGGTGGCTAAAGAAAATTGAGCTTTTGGTGATTGTGTCCCATCTGCTGGTGATATCAGCCACAGTTTGGTTAGGCAAAGACAATTTAGTGGGTGTTCTGTAATGGGTGTCAAGTGAAGACAACTGGGTTAACTCAACCTGGTAATAGACATTTCTTGAGTTAGCCCATCTTTGCCTGATAGAGCATGTGAATGTTCCCTTATTGGCTATCTGTGTTTACTTCTCCCAGAACTTTGGAGCAGAAACCCTGCAGCTGATAGAGGATTATAGGCAGCTGGAAGATAGTTACCACTTTTCGAAACAAATGTTGAAAGTAGGATATGTATGACCTTAGTTCTGTTAAAAAAAAGCAGTTCTTCAGGATAAGTAAGCTAGCAAATAAGCAGTTCTTGGGGGGGACTTGGATTACGTTGTAGTACCTACCCTTCATATTACAGCTGTATTTTAAGTAGGGAATATATTTTCTAGTTCTCTGCCACTCCCTGCCAAAGACAAATGCTCATGTTAGTGAGGTTGACTCCAAGTACATAGAAGTGCATGTGCCTTGCCCGATAAAGTAGTTACATGCCTCTTTTTTTTTATTTACTGCACTAATATTGAATCCTTTTTTGCTTTTTTGATATCTTAGTCCTGAAAAATATAATTTAGATTTTATCTGTATGAAAATTCCTGTGTTGAACAGAAAAAGTGACTGCAATAAAACAGAATAACTTTGTGAAAGAAAATGAGTAGGAAAGTAGAAAATAGTATAGGTAGCTTCAGAGTTTAGCTGGATCTATATTCCCCTTCACTTGCTGTTGTGTCAGTTTCCAAGTGATAATATCTTGTAAGCATCATGTAAATAAAAACCTAAGTGGTTTTGAACAGAAAGAAACTGAGTAATAGTGGTTAATCCTTTACAAAAATACCAAAACTCTTCTGGACACAAGCCAGATATAAGAAGTGCTAGGGAACTTCTTTTGTTATCCTTTGTTTTAAACTCTTATGAACTTCCCGTGAAAGAAATTAGTTGTCTGATTTGTGTCTGTAGTAAATGCTTCAAATGTTTCAAAATGTGTTGAATTTAAATGGTATAGCTTATATTACAACAAAAGGTAAGCATGTGAAATTTTTGTTTTCCTGTATAGGTGATCTGTATGGTGCCATAGGCTCTCCAGTTAGATTGACTCGAACTGTTATTGTTGGAAAACGCAAGGAGCTGGTGCAGCGCTTGCTCTATGTTCTAACTTACTTCATTCGGTGCTCTGAGCTGCAGGAAAATCAGATGACATGGAGTGAGAAGGCTGGGGAAGGCGAGCAAGTGCTAAATGGAAGCAAGATCACAACTGCACTAGAAAAGGGAGAGGTAGAGGAGTCTGATTATGTGATTGTCACTGTTAAAAATGAACCTGCTCTTGTGCCTCCCATCCTACCTCCAAAGAATGATGGAAGTAAGAACAATAGTATTGCAGAGTGGGTACACGACCCAGAAACCACTCATGCTGTCCCAGCCTCTTCAAAGGAAAAGAGAGAAGCAATAGGAAAGGCCAGTCAGAACTCTGAAGCATCTGTTGACTCTCTAACTAGCAGTTTCCCTAAAGGAGCAGCTGATGGTAGGAAAAGAACCGTCACTGATATGGGAATTGTATCCTACCACTTTGAAGAGCCATCTAAATTGGAGGATTTAATGGATATAAAGAAGAACAAGAACCAGAATGAAAGAAAAGTGGAAAAGCAATTGTCTAGTAGGTCATCTGCCTTACCTTGTCCTGAAAGGTCTGGCCACAGGAGTTCACACTTAGAAAAAGTGACCTTTCAGATTGGAAGTTCTGCGTCACCAGAGTCAGACTTAGAAACTCACAGAAGTCAAATGGAAGAAAATCTGAAGGCATTCAGAAAAAATCTAGAGGTGACACATTGTGCCTCAAGTTCCACAAATCTGACTGTGGATGCTTCCCAGAATCAAAAAGAAAGCTGTGAAGCTGCATTTATACCCTTCAGTAAACATAATGTTTGTTATGCACAAATCCCACCTTATGAAGGGAAGGAGAGTATACTTAATAACCAACATAGGGAAAGTAAAGGAACTGAAATGAATTTAGTGAACACAGTATCTAGTGAACCATTTTTGCCCACAGATAACATAGACACTGTAAAATTGCCAAGCTTGAAAGAAACTAGAACTTTATGCTCTGGCAATCTGGAGAACTATTCCCCTGGCTGTGTAGAATTAAGTTCTGCTGTCAAACAAGATTCCCCTAAAGTAGGTGCTAAAGATGTCCCCTATGGGGATGCTGGAAGGAAAATCCCCTTCAGAGTTGAAGGGGACATTCCAAGGAACGAGAGTTCAGACAGTGCTCTCGGAGCCAGTGATGAAGAAGGTGATTGTTGCATCCCTGATGAAGTGCATCATGATAATGTCAGCAAAAGACCTGAAGAGTTTGCAGAAGTGGAACTTCCTTTACCAAGGTAAAAAAGCTTAAATTAATTTAGAACTAAATGGAGTCAAAAGCTGTTGCTATTTTAGAGATGTTCAGGGTTTCAAGTCTGAAATCCTCTGAGATCTTGACTAAGTTCCTTGCAAACAAATCCATAACAGACACCGTTGATGTGGTTAGGATTCTTGTAAACAGACTTGGCAAAAAGAAAACCAAGACTGAGCAGATTTAGGTGTTGAAGTTTTCTGACAAAGGTGGTCTTCAAATGTCTAATAAAAAGTGACCAAACTTTTTTTATATAAACTGCCTGAAACATTTGATGTAGACATGTATGTAGACAGAACATCTGAGGACAAGCAAAATGTCAGCTTTGCTTAAACTGATAACTGTTTAGATTTGACATATTTGACAAAGACATATTTGAAATAAATAGGGCATCCTATTTGAAAACTTTCTAGCTTTACAGGTGCACATGGAGCTTGCTGAGGTAACGTAGGTAGCTAGAAGGTGTTTGCTGCTTGGGCTGAGTTTGAGAAAATGAAAATTTAGCAAACCTATTAGCTGCAGAACAGGGAGCTCATACATACCACAAGCTCTAATACATTTAAATTTGCCTTTTCATAAATTTGAAGGGATCAAAACATTGTTATAAAATCCTTGTTTCAAAGAGCACCAGCAACTGGTTTACTGTAGTTTGAGTACAATTGTTGATTAATATTTGCAGTAGAAGCAGGGGTGATAAACCAAACATAGCATCCATTTAAAATCTGAATGCAGTCTGTCAAGCAAGAATCTTACCTGCTTTGTATTTCTGTATTTCAGGTCAAATACAATCAGCAGTCAATGTGTGAAAAATTTTGGAAGATCACTTCTAGGTGGTTACTGTCATACGTATATACCTGATCTAGTGCTACATGGAATAAATAATGATGAAAAACTCAAGCAGTGTCTACTAGCAGACCTACTTCATGCAATGCATGTGAGTTAAAGTACTGTTCTGAGTCATAGTAGGAGTTGCGATATTACTGAGATCTACAGAAGCAGGTCCTTCGAATAGGTCCTGTTTCTTTCTACTTCCCTGTTCTTAACAGCCATACCTGAGATGTCTGTCTTGAAAGATGTAAGCCCTTAATTAATTGTGTGCCAAGCCTGTTTACACAAGAATCATGTGTGCTTTCCTTTATGCTCTAAGTCTTCTCTTCAAAGATAAACACAAGGAAAATTGTTTGCAACTTCAAGTTACAAACAAGGGAAAAAAACCTCAAACTGCTTCTCTTCAGTCACAATAGCAGACAGTTATCTATTTTTCATAAAAATGATATGCAAGTTGAAATATCTTATTTTGCCACTTAGTGGCATGGTTGCAAGGGAGGTGAAGTCTTGTGGAGGTCTATTATACTGGATTGTAGCAGAAATGACTGACTACAGAAAGTATTTGTCTGTAGGTAAGAACTTTGCCATGTTCCTACTCTACTTCAGGTACTCCTAAATTATAGAATTAATTCTATAACTAACCTTTCACTAAAGTAACTTGTGACCTTAGTATGCAATTTTAAATGTTTATCTAGTAATTGTCAACAGCTTCTCTCTATAGCAATTAAGAATCATCCTGCTGGAATGAGTTCATGTACTATCCGAAACAGTGATTCATGTGTATGTAACTATTTTAAACAACACCAGATTGGTCTAATACGATACTCTCTCTTCATACATACCCTGCCTTGATTGTGCATAATGAAATCCCTCACATATCTCTGAAACATTAAATATACTTTTGCCATCACTGGATCAGTATAATTATTACTCTTTTTATTTTGGAAGAAAATTATCTTTTCGGGGAAGGTGGTGGAATACTTAAAGAAAACAATATTGGGTAGTGATTTTGAAGCACTAATTAAACAAAATTAAATGCCTTGATCAAATTGGCGCTAAGACTTAACTGACCCAGTGTTGCTGAATGTAAACTCTGTCACTCTGTCCTTGCCATTTTTGAGATGCATTTGGTTTCCTATTGGACAAAAACATTTCATTGGATCACTTTTTTATTCCCTGCCTCAGTGTGAATAAAAGTAGAACCTCAAGCTAAGTTGTGGAAATGTCTATGAAAGTGTCACATAACCTTTGTATTTTGTATCTGTTGCAGCATCCAGTGCTAGATGAGCCCATAGCAGAAGCTGTCTGTATTATTGCAGACACAGATAAATGGAACGTACAAGTAGCTACAAGCCAGAGAAAGGTGATGGACAATATGAAGTTGGGCAAGGATGTTTTGGTTTCGAGTCAAGTATCCAGTTTATTGCAGTCTATTTTACAGCTTTACAAACTCAACGTCCCAGCTGACTTTGTAAGTATTTCTTTACTGAAGACTGAAGCTAATTAAAATTGCTTAGCTTAGACAGCAAATGCAGAGTTTTGTACACTGTGGTGCTAAACCAGTGAACTAATGCTTGAAATAATGCAGAGTTGGTACAACATATTTAAAAGAATGCATGCTACAGTCCAGTAACAGATACTGTTTTATCTGTAATTTACATCTAATAGGTCAGATTACAGTTAACTAATCCAAAATACATATGCCAAAACTGAAGTGTTTTAGGCAGTTTTAGCATGGTCCTTACGTGTTTATGATTAGGGCTCTTAAATTTGGCTTTTGGGGTTTTTTTTTTTTGTTTGTATAACTTCCACACTTCTCTATGTTGTTGAAGCTTCTATCTACCTAAGGATGTTTCTGGCATACAACTTTCTATTCTTGGGCTTTCTATCCAACCCCATACAGTGGATGCCTCTTCTCTCTCCTTCCTAAATAATTGTGCCTCTGTGTGTTTACTTGACCCTTCTGTTTTAGGCATATTTCAGCCAGCCCTGTCAGCAAGTGCTGTCTCAGATAGCCTTGATGATGTCTGCATAGGATTGCTGGGAGGAGACTGGAACCTGAAAACCCCTAGGGGTGGGTGGGTTGCAGCAGAGGATGTTACTTGGCCATATTGCATACTCCCTATCCCACAGCATCCTTTCCTGTCCTCATTAGTAGTGGAGTTCGTCAGAGCAAATCAGTAATGCTGGTTTTGCTGATTACAACAAAGTTACTTATAAGTCTGACGGTGGTAATTATAATACAGTTTTTACTGCATGATTGTAGATGAGGAAAGATGAGGGAATCTTCTTCAATAGTCACCCCTTTTTCAATAAACTGATTTGTCCTTCAGCAGATAGCCTTGAGAAGCTTTGTAGGAAGCCTGTGTAATGACTGTGCTAGCAGATGAAAGAAGAAGATAGAGCTAAACACCAACAGCTGTAAATAGTATTAGCTGGCACTGTTTTGGATAAAATTAGTGGTATTGATTATGCTAAGTTCTTGAAGTCAAGTGCTAGGCACAATATGTGGGTGCATTGTCAATGTTGTCTCTGGATTCTTCTGGGCATTGAAAAATACGCAACTTTGGTTAAAATTATATCCTAACACTGCACAGTAACACCTTAAATTCTGGCATTTCTAAACTGAATAGTTGATTCTGCAACTGAAGTGTTCTTTCCAATACTGCCTTGGGGTTTGTGTATGCAATTTCTGGATGTTTTGTGTGGTGTGGGGGGTTTGGAGGTGGAATGGTTTTTGGGGTTTTTTCTTTCCTTTTTCTTACAAAAAGGAACAGTGAAGAGACAGTGCTAGTAGTTTGTAAATTTTCTGTAATCCATGTTAGAGAGACTTTGATCCTATTGGTGGATTTTACAGCTCTTTGCTAAAACAGAAACATGGGTACATGGAAGTCAAGTGTTCCACTAAACTCTAGGGGGAGAAGTGTGACTTTATTGTAGCTATTCTATTGATTTAAATCTTGACAAAAACATATGTACTAATATCGATCATAGTGATTCTTTTGATTTAAATTTTGACAAAAACATATGTACTGATATTGATAAGAGGTGACCATAATGCATTATGTTTGAAGTTTCCTTTATGAGTGTACATTTTTTTACATGCAGTTACTGTTCAGATGGATAAGCTTTTTGGTTTTTTGTGGTACAACAAAAAACAAAACCCAGCTTGAGACTGGATGAAAGGCAAGTGGTGATATCCTTGTGGCACTTCAGACTAGTAACCATACTGCAGAGAGCTTTGCAGTATGCCAGGGTGAGAGGGAAGTGATGATTGCAACTGCTGCATGTCAGCAATATGTCAAAAGTTTCACCTGCACCTTTAAACTAATTTGAAGCTACTTTTCTAATTTTAGAAGTGACTTGACATTTATTTTTTTTTCATTTAGTCAATGACAAAAGCTACAGAGGAAGCTAACATAAAAAACCCAAACTTCTGTACCTCACTTCACGTGGACATTTTGAACAAAATGGATTCATGTACTGAGTTTATGAGGAAAAATCTTTTGATTCTTTGCTGGCATTCAGGAGGAGCAGATACTCTCATGTAAAGAATCTCTCTTCTAGCATAATGTGGGATTTTCCTTACTTGCTCCCTCACAACTTAAAAAAAGGTCCATAAACTTTTAGTACGAGTACTGGAATTGAAATTGAACTGCTACTTTGTGAATCAGCTGCATGCTCCCCTGCACCAATGAAGTGCTCATAGTTACTTGTAATGGAAAAGATAAGAATGTTTCCCTTTTGGCTAGAATCAGAAGTGTTATGATTATAATGACTTGAGTGAAAACTTGCTTGAAGCAAATAGATCAAACTACTCTCAAAAAGCTTTTGCCTTTCCTCCACTGGTGGCAGTTATTTTATTCTACTACTATGTAGCATGTTTTTTTAAAATGCCTCTATCTTCCATGATTAAGATCTGATGTAAGCTCAGAGAATCATTAAAAATCTTGCTCCAGACCATCAGAAAAATACATGGTAGGCTACCTACAAGCATCAGTCTTTTTTTTCTCATAACTTTTTAATTAGCAAAACTGGTTTCACAGGATCTCGTTTCTAATACTTATGGTTTTCATTCAACTTGAAAAGCACATTGGATGATGGCCTGAAGCTATTTGCTGCTACTGTTTCTGATTGCTGTCTACACCTGCTGGATGATTATTACATTTGATAATGTGAGGTTCTGCATGCGCTTCCTGCTTTCATCTCCTGGAGTTGGGAGAGCTGAACTAATTAAATTTTTTTGAAGTGGTCATCCCTGTGGAAAGAAGGGATATATCAAATTGAGTGTACTTTTTGTCCTAGAACAAAATACCTGATAAGACATCCTACCTACTCACCTTGTGAAGACATCCTACCTACTGACCTTGTCTTACCAAAAAAACCCCCTCTCCCTCTTTGAAGCTAAGGTTCATCTGCTCTCCTGCAGTTGGTGTATGAGAAATTACCACGCATCATATGACTGTATTTAAAAATAATGTGCATTTCTATCATGCTGCTGCTGAAAGAAAAGGGGAGTGATTAAATTGGTATTTCAAGTTGAACTATTACCTTTTGGGAAACAGCATCAGATGTTTAAGCAATTTTAAACTAGAAGTACCTAGGACTAATAAAAACAAATGCCTAAAAAGTATTTGTAACCTACCTTCTCTAGTAAAGCAGTGAGCAAAAGAGCTATAATTTTATGACAAGATAAGATAATTGTGTCTTCCACTTCTTGAGTCTTAGTTTTTTGCATGACAGATCCCTAAAGCTAAAGAGTGCTAATTTTAGAAACTGTTGTCTAGGCTGAGTCTTTCAGAAAAAATAGTGCTGACTTATAACAAAGACACTTTGTCCGAGTATTCTGGTTTGATTCTTAGAAAGATGTCTTGAGTGTCTTTGAATCTGGTTAAAACTATTTAAGTCAGCAGAAACACTATGGTTGACTTGAGTGGGAAATGGATGTGCAGTTTGTGCAACAAACTTGCTGCCCAAGGAAGCTGGAATGTCCCAATTCTTTGAGGGGGTAGTATAACTTTTTCATGTTGCTGGCACAGCTGTAACAAAACCAATTGCCTCTTCTGGATTTTGGAGTGGAGATGTAGTTTGAAAGATGTTCTAGCTAAGATAGAAGCTAAAATGATATGCTTACATTTCTGTAAAATGTGCATGTGATTGCTAAAGCCATTCTGAGGTTTTTGGTCTGTGTTTACAGTGCATAATGCATCTTGAGGATAGACTACAAGAAATGTATCTCAAAAGCAAAATGCTTTCAGAATATCTGCGAGGACATACCAGAGTGCATGTAAAAGAACTAGGAATTGTATTGGGGTGAGTATTGCAGATATCAGTCTTAACCAATGGCAAAACTTGGGGCAGTTATTTTCCTTTTTAGTTTCTGAATATTGGCATCTTGTTCCCACGGGGACTTGCTTCTTACTTCATATTTAGCACTCTCCTCTTTCATGTGCCTAATAAAGTGTAAAAATGGGTTCTACTGAGCTATCTGGAAATTGGGAGGAGACACGGTTCAACAACAAGAACAAACCACTTGGCATTCTTAAATCTTCACAATGAAGAAAGTTTGGATTTTGGTCATTAGGAGGTTATGCACACATTCATACACACTCTTTCTGTCTTGATCCTCCTTAATAAAAACTCATCCCAACAAATACTTGAGAATCTTTGGAAGGTTAGGTGGTGCAGTTGTATCTTGAGGGAAGAGGGGTTCTCAAAAAGCAGATGTAGGAAAATAGACAGGTGTCCTGTTTGGCAACTGTCTTCTAATAATAGTGCTTGATTGGCACACAACCTTTAGGGATGCACCTGCTGACAGCAGAAGAGGGGGAAGGGGGAAGAAGTGAGTACATGTTCCCAAGAAGATGGTTTTTAGCACTGTAGGTAAAACTTAATTTATCTTTATCCAGACTGTTCAAGATTTCATGCTGAGAAATGTAGCTGTAAACAGTGAAACCCTGAAATAAGCACTTTTCTCACTGTGTGTATATGAGTATAAATATATATATACACACACATACATTCTGGCTTCTGAGCAGCTTTACATTGGAAATGGTTGGAAACTGAGCATTGCATTTGAGAGACATTGCTGGTACTGTTACTGCATAATAACTAATAATTCCAGCTTTTGGTCATTTTTGGTAAGAAAGTGCTCCTGTATGGGGAACAGTTATATTCAAAACATGAAATGCACAGTCTTCCATAAGCTGATGTTTAGTACTTTCTTAAACTGGGCTTATTGGTGCCTACTGACTGGCAAGACTACAAGCTAAGTCTTACGGTTTAGCAAATAAATAAAAGTTTTTATTTAAAACAGAAAAGATTATATACCACAAAGAGTAATGCTGCTATCTTTTGACTTAAATGGTAGCCTAATTCTTGGTTTTAAATATTATTACCTACCTTTACTGGTATGTTATGAGTAATGGCAATAAATAATAATTAAACAATGAACTGGGTTATAGGAACACACTTCCAGTTTCTTTAAAGTGGATGAAAAATATCCTCTTGTGTTTCTCTTTTTGTCAAGGTGACTGTATATTTTAAAGTCTGTCTTTTTTTTTTTTAATTTCTAGGATTGAATCCAATGACTTGCCTTTGTTGGCTGCTATAGCAAGTACTCATTCCCCGTATGTTGCTCAAATACTCTTATAAATTCAAATCTCAGGATAGTCATTCCCTTAAAGTAAAATAAAGAAAATGGGAATGTTGAATGAAGAACAGAGGTGCCAAACACTGGTAAAGAGGAACACTGAGGAAAGCAGGTGATGACTGTACATTCTACCACCTTCTGATTCTGATTTCAGCCGGATGTTTTATCAGAGGACTTCAGTTTACATAATGTAAAAGGCATTCAGGTTTTTCTTACAATCGCACTTCTGACTTAAATCAAGAAAGTGACTACATCCTTGCATTTTATTTTTATTCAAAGGACAAAAGTTAACACTATGTGGCAGACCAGGAGCTGCCATCCAAAACGCTGCTCAAAACCATGAAGTAACTGTTAAAAGAACAAGTGGGTTAGAGTGGATTTCTTAATACTATGCTTGTGTGTGTGGTGTGGTGTATGTTTCTTTGCTGAGGAGGAGGAGCTGTAAACTATGTATATAGCATTTCTATACACAAGTGTATTAGATGGGACATGATCTTCTCACAGAGCATAAGCATGATTTTGTATATTGGAACTGACCAGCTCAGAACAAGGAACCTGGATTCAGCAGCCGAATGTTATGTGGGAATGGAGGTGTGCATGAGGTGATGTGACTTTTCCCTTAAAGGACAAGAGGTTAAGAAAGCTGTGGCTGCTTCTGTTTTAATGAGGAGGCATTCGAATGAGGCCATGGCTAGAAGTGGAATGGAATGGACATCTGAGATAGGGATTTTGTGGGAAAGCCTTATGGAATTTCTGCTACAAGTTTACATTTGTTGCTGATGCAACTTCAATAACTCTTCTGAGTTTCTGTATGACTGTAATCCTGGGAACTAAACCTGTATCTTGGTGTCATCAAGTATTACTATCTCCGAGGAGTATGAATTTGACAAACTTCTGTGTGATACCAGTGCTGTTAGCGCGTGTCTGTGCACACGTACACCAAGCAATTGGCACAAACTGAAGACAGTCTTATTGGGGAAATAAAAGACAACAAACAACCCCCCACCAAACCTGTAGTCAAAAGTATTACTTTTTTCCAGCTACTAGTTGTTACTTCTAAGTAGGAATGAAAAAACAGCATTGTTTGAAGTAAAATGAAATGTAGGGGGCAAACCCCAATATTTGATAGTGCTATGAATGTTTGCCATTACCCTTTTTGATTCTACAGAAATCTTGAACTATCATCTGGGTGCCTTTCCTTAATGGGTTAACTACTCTGAGACCAGAAACTACTTCTCCACTAGTTGATACTGGCCTTCTGTGTTTCTAGAAAGCAAAATAAAATTTTGTATTTTACTGTTTTCATGTGGTTGATACCATGAATGTAAAAAAAAAAAAAAATTTACTTTTATTGCATAAAGCACTGTTAAGCTGGATATGAAACTGTGGACCAGACTGAGGAAGGAACAAAGGATCAAAACAAACATTCTTAAAGAAATGGAAATCTCAATGTTGGACTGTTCTGTTGTGAGCCAGCAGGCATGAGGTGTCTGAAATTGTCAGCTTGCAAGCCAATTGCTAGTAACACAATTGCTTGGGAATAGTGAATACTAATAAGAAACTCCTGGTCACCGGTTGTGATTTCTCCTCATTGGTGATTACAGATTTTTAACACTGAAGGGACACACTTTTATTAAAAGTGGTTTTATTTCCTACTACCTTGATGTTTGGACTTTTCTACAGTAAACTTTCAATGATTTGAAATAATGAAATGTGCATATTGTGAGTTGTTTAAATGTGATGGGGGTCTTGATTAACCTTGTGTTGCTTTTTGAGGGAAACAGGTAGACTGACCTACTGTGAAGAGAGGTTGTTTCCAAGTGGAGGGATACTTATTCTGATACAATGCTTCTAAAGCTATTCCTTATATGCTGGGTTTCTGACCTGACATTCCAGATGTTTCTTTTATCGCATTTTCATACTTGTCCCTAGTATTCTGCCTAAAAAGGCTAAAATCTTTTTATGGTTCAGGTTTTCTCCTACTGCTTATAGTTAAGCAAACTTTTCATATCTTTGGTCTGTGAATCCTTCTATCTGCTGGAAAGTAAACTTACCTCTGCATATAGCTGTTAGCAGATATCACTCTCTATTCCACAAGGTTAAGGCAAAGTAAGAACCGTAGAGCAAGTCACATATTCCTAAACTACCCCTGTGATGGAGAGTGTGTGTGTCCGCATGTGTAAGACTATGAAACCGCTTCCCTGAGTGTATATAGAAACCTCATGTACTTTCTCTATTTCATGTCACTCTTACATAGTAGCAGAGTTCATTAAAAGTCAATTCATTAAAAGTCAATTCCAGTTCTCTTAAACTATTAGTTGGGTTTTTATCTGAACAGACTGACAATTCTTCAAAGAAGTATGTGCTAACATAGAAATATGTGCTTTTGTTTTTATAGAGTGCACTAAGGAAGTCAAAGGTCAGCCGACATTCAGTGATTTCAAGACTAATACCATGATCAGTAACACCTGATTTTACTACATCAACTATTATAAAAAAAAAAAAGTCTGCCTTTTGGCAAGACATCAAATTAACCGATGGTCAAAAGCACTTGGATTTTCTTCAGCCCAGGCTAAAACTTCATAGTTCTTGCTGCTTTCTCTAACATTTTGCTGCTCTTCACAAATTACGTGATGAACTATCTTGTTCTCACGGTTTTAGTTTTGGGGGAAAGAAAATCCAGAATGAAAGCTGATTATTACCTTTAAAAGGCTTTAGACTAAAGAAAGTTAAATACATGTTTTCCCCCTCCACCAAATGTACTACCTCAGTTGACAGGATTCCACCTTCTAGGGCTTTTTTTGACTCCAAGTCTTTAACTTGTTTTTGGTAGCATCTTGCTGTTTATGTAAAATAGTGTGGCATGACAGGGCAGTAAGTATTTACAGATGTGTTGTTAGACATCTTTAGGGCATGTTTCTGTTTTTATTTTAATAGGATGAAAAGTGATATGAATGTACAGATGTGTCTAAAATTGACAATGTAGCTTAATTTTCAAAGATTCCAAAGTTGTTCTTATCAGTATTATGTAGTTTTTTGTAAACTTAAATACATACTTTCTTGGATAAGTGGGAGTGCACAGTCTTTCCAAAATCCCACATAAATGCAGTTTACACAGTGCAATTTAAAGAATGTATGCTTTTTTTTCAGGCAAGGCTAAACCTTCATACACAGAGGGGAGGAATGAACTGCGAAATTGTAGTATTTAATCTAAATGAATTCTTTAACCCCAAATGATACTGAGAGCTAAACATTTTAGTTTAGGTAGGTACTCGCTGAACTAATGTATACAACTTTCTTTTGACCAAAAGAAACCAATAGACACTGATTCTGTAATTCACATTTCTAATGGCATCCTCCAGAGTTACAGACTGATACTTTTCCCCACTCCCTACTATATGTATCTTTACTCTTAAAGTCAAAAACCCTTTTCAGACACACCAAACTCGTGTATATAAAGTTTACACAAAATGATCACTTATTCCTCAAGTATAACTTCTACTTCAGTTAAAAGGACACAAATCAAAATTGAGTCTGAACTGTCAAATATACTGTAGACTTTTTTTTTTGAGGTCAAGTGGGCTAATTTGACATACATAGCAGGTTTTCCATAGTAGAAAAAACAATGTGTGTTGCTATTGCATGTTTGGAGAACATAGGCTTTTTTAGGAATGACTGAATACCAATGTCAAACTACATGGGTTTTTTTCTTATAGCTGTTTATGTACGCTATCATTTTGGTCTATTTCTTTGCGGCATTTGGTGCAATAAACTTTCTGAAATGAATGTAAGTGGTATTTTGTATCTTCCTTCTTAAAACTTACTTCTGAAATAGCTGTTGTAGCTGAGATCTAATAGTGCATGGACATCTGATAACTCATTAGCGGAGTAAGTAAATGTTGCAAGAAATGTCTAACAGGAAAGCTTCACAAAATTTCAAACCTGATTGAACACTGTTAGCATCTTTGGAAGCTTTACCCCACTTACATGTGTAAACAAGAGCTCTTACAGTGTGAAAACTAACTGCAAAAAGCAATGGAAAGTGAAGATGCTGACTGTTGGAATAGGTCCTGCAAAGGTTCCACGCACCTGTGTGGCTGGTACTTAGCTCAAGTGCATGTGAAAAGAGCTATCTGAAAAATGCGTTCCTCTTACATAATGTGTCCAATTTTAAAAATTACTTAACAGGGATGAGTGACACCTTGTGTCTACTAGATTATGAATTGGTTGATGGATTTGACATGAATTAGTTTAAAATAAAGAGGTTTTCAATTTGTGTCAAACTCTCCATGACCTGAATTTCTATACAATATTCTGCAGCTTACTGGAAAGTCCTTATATACAAAATAAAAATGGAGGAGAGAGGATCAACTGTAATTATGCTGAACATCTTTGACCAGGTCTGCGGTATAGTCTGATTTGTAGGGTGTAAGCACTTCTTACCTGTAGACTGAAATGTTTGAGGCTTGCTTGTTGGTCAGGTTAACAAAGATTGGAAATAAAACAAAAGCCCAGGAACTTTGGCGTCAAGGACTTTTCACAGTGCTCTGAATACAGTTTCTGGCTTTCTGGTCTGGCTGCAGTAATTATCAACTGGAGCATTTGGAAATAAGTCTACTTATTTTCTCGTGCTCAAAGGTGCTAGCACACACTTGAAGGAAGGAGAAATGTCTGTTGTGTTGTCTACTACAACTCCTGTGTAATTTGTGCTCCTGTTAATACTCCTGTACAAATGGTGACCTGTTATAGAGGTTAGCTAGATTTGGTGTTCATGAGAATGAAAGGGGTTTTTTAGTGTGAAAAATAGTACATCGAACAATGGTGCTGTAGTGAATTGTAACCTCACTCCAGCTTGCTTCTTGACAACTTCTGCAGCTGCCTCCCTCTCTCTAAGTGTGCTTTCATGAGAAGGCTTGAAACACTTTAATAGCTAACCCTGTAACAAGGGGAAGACCCCATTACCCTGTCCGGTCTTCCCTCCTGTCATGCTAGCTGAATCTGC